GGGGATTGTTATCACCATGGTTCATGCCAGTGTGGGCAGTAGACCACAGAGAACTTGATGTGTCGCACTTGGTCAAGCCAGTTCAAAATGGGGAGCGGGCCTACCGGTATTATTTCATTGTATTGACTATTCAAGACTCCTGGTTTAGAATTGGTCGCCTTTTTTTTAGCACAAGGGGGCTATCCTGAAAAATTCTGTTTTGAGAAAATCGAAGGTAACGTTTTTGGATCCTTATTCAGTTTCTTTAAAACACAAGGAGAGTTTTCTGTATAACCATACAAATATACACACCAATGAAACCAAACTTCTCCTATAGGTAGGGCAATGCCCACTTTTGGTGTAAGTCAAGATTTCTGGAAACCACCCAAATATGGGTTAGCCTGCTTTTCCTTAAAAGCGACCAATTGTTGTGTCTCTTGTCTGAAGACCTATTTCGTATGGAAAAGAGTAAGATTTGTAAGTAGATTTCCGTTCTCTCACTCTGACTCATTGAGTGGCTTTCTATAAAACTATCAATACCATTTCTGTTGTACTGTTTATGTTACTGTTGTTGTTTGGCCTTTATTGTTGCTACTATCACTTTTGAATTGTGACTTTTTTCTATCCCATAACACTGACCATTGCATATATTCTTATTTTATTGGAGTATTACTGTTACAACGTTAGAGAGCTGAATGGACGTTGGTACGGGGGTGTTGGCTGATCTATGCGGGCCTAGCTTAGGATCTTCCAAATGTATTGATTATTATTATCATGCTCAATCTTTTCTCAGGTGATATTATTGAAAGTAATGAAAGTGCATCAGTTACTCACATTACTGCTACTATATTTTCTATAAATATTCATGTAGTTCAGTGTCTTGTCACCCTGTTGCATATCAATTAAATATTTATACTATACCAATAAATATACACTTTTCAAGAATTCTTCGTTATGTGTGTGTTTACTTGCATGAATATTATTGTTTGTGTGTATGTATATATATATATATATATATGTGTGT